AGTATGGATCCTTGCGGTACTCCAGCTTTGATTGTCTGGAAAGAAGAAGATATGCTGCCTGCTCTAACTGTTTGGACTCTGTTTTGTAGATAAGATGAGAACCAATCCAGACTTGATGAAGTCATGTTTAAAATCTTTAGTTTGTGTAGAAGGATATTATGATCTACTAAATCAAAAGCCTTATTTAAGTCTATAAATATAGTACCTACTATTTCATTTTTATCAATACTGTCAATCCATTTATCAATTAGGTGGACAAGAGCAGTCTGACATGAATGTTTTGCCCTAAAACCTGACTGTGAAGTGTGTAACAGGTCATATTTCGTTAAGTATTTATAAAGATGGTTTGTAATATGTTTCTCAAATATTTTTGAAAAAGTGGGCAATATAGATATGGGTCTATAATTCTTTTACCAAAAGATGCCAAACTTTTTAATTATGGTGATGACAACACACTGTCAAGTACCCATAGTGAGATGTCCGTCATCAATATTTTAGAAAGACAGAGCAAGATTTTAATAAATTGGTTTAAAGAAAATGAAGGATGAAGAAAACCCTGACAAGTTTCAGGCAGTGCAATTGCTGCAGTGAGTTGGAAAATAAAGAGCATATAACTATTTTAACATTAATTGGCAATATTGTAATTCATTGTGATCAGGAGGCCACCAAACTTTTGGGAGTTATTATAGATTCTTTCTGATTCTTTCTTAAAAGCATTTAAGGAGACATTACGTACCCAAATCAGATCACCAAACCATCATTTTATTGAGACATTCATTGAAAAATCTTAAGAGGAATTATATTCATTTATGGTTGTATCAAAAACAGAATATCTATTGGTGTTCTTACAAACAAAATTAGCACCCGGAGCTCACTTGATATATTTATAGAACACTCTGAAGTCACCAATCAGCGTTTCCAGTTATTGCGAATTTCAGGACCCAATTCGGATCAAGGCTTGAACTTTGTAATATCTTACATTTGAGATTTTGCAATATCTCACACTTCAAATGAATATTATTTTGTTAGCTTATTAACATTTTATGATGACCTTTAGAATTTGAATATAACAAAAAGCATTTTATTTTAAAACCTAATCAAAACACTGACATTTGAGTTTGAATTACGTTTTTTTGTGCTATTTGAACTTAAAAACTTATCATCTGTATAGACAAAAAATGGTGCATGGCTATTCATTGTTAAAACTGATTTGTTGACACCTTTATTGAAGTATTTTTGCAAAAAGTGATCCGATTCGGGTACTGTGCATGCCTCCTTAGGTAGATAAATGTACTTACATTTGTAAGTGCCTCGAAAGATTTAACTTACCTAATTAGAGGGGCGCAGGGCCATTTATCACGCCATTATCCTGTCAAATCTAAATTTCTGTCCTTTGGTATGGCATTTTTTATCAAAATCAAACTCCCAGAAGCTTGAAAAAATCCATTTTAAATCATGAAAATTTGTGTATCAAGAGTTCAACTCAAGTTATGAGACACTTTTTCTACCCTTCATATCAATAGGCTTAGACTTGTAGCCATAGAAACTTCTAAGGTTTTAAATGGGACCAGTCCATGTTTTTGACAAGATTTTATCCAAGCATGAGAAACCACATCTTGCTCTTTTAGGTACAATAGACTTTTTGATGTCCCGAGAACTAAGACTGTTAAATATGGGACAAACAGTTTTAGCGTTTTAGCTGCTACTACCTTGAATATTAATGCTTTGCCTGACCATGTCAGGACGATATGATGATACAGTACTATGACACTTCTCCATAATGTCAGTGATTGGCTATATATTGTGCTGATGTTTATATTAGAATTTGCGAATTTTAGTCGAAACACAAATATAGCAAAAAATAAAAAAAACACGAAATATAACCGCTAAACAGTAATACAGATTTTTTTTTTTTATGGTTTAGATAGAGTTAAAAAGTATTTTTTAGAGTCAGGTTATAGCTGGCTTTTCCACCAGACGGGGCTAACAAACTTCATTATGTATTAATTATATAAATCAATATCGGTTTAATGATTTAAACAAAAAGTTTTATAATTCTGCGCCTTAATGTTTTTCAGAAATTCTTGGTGTTGAAGGAACTCCCTATGAAAATGGAATATTTCGAATTGAAATTCAAATCCCAGAAAGGTAAAGTGTACTTTAATTTATACATGTAGTGTACATAAATTTTGCCAAGAAAAATTCGCTTTAGATCTTCTTGATCACCAGTCAAATTCAGTGATTACCCCAAATTCAAAATCATTGCCAGGTGTACTTAATTAGATCCTCTAATATTTTTTTAGAGCAAAATGCAGTTTTTTGTGTTGTTCAAATTCTGCATTGTAGCTATATATATAGGTAGAGTATAACATATTTTAGAGAATACTATTGATGCTTTGTAAAATAGAAAATAATTATATATAATGTTCTGTAATGTATACATACAGTGTATACTGACATTTTCTTTTTTTGCATTTGATTCTAATTAACATTTTGGTTCATCATGATCAGTCATATTGGTATGATGCAAGTGTTAATTCAGTGAAATTATAATTTTCTATCTTCATCATAATGCTGTTAAAGTATATATATACTTGTATATGATACAGTTTTGTTTTTTAAGGTATCCTTTTGAGCCACCAAAGGTGCGGTTTATAACACCCATCTACCACCCTAACATTGACAATGGTGGACGTATCTGTCTGGATACCCTGAAAATGCCTCCCAAGGTAAAGTTCTGGTATGGACTGACTGCCAGTCCTTCTAGCCTCTTATTGTGTCTCCCTTTCGTATGAAGGTCATGAGGTCATTGTGACCTAGCTTGACCCCAAGGTCAAAGTTCAAATGTATGCAAATTTTTCAGGAACATCTTGTCTGGGCTGTAACTTTTAAACCATTTGCCAAGGTGATGCCAACGGTCCCTCACTGTGTCTAATTTTGCTTAAACTTAATATGCAAGTATATATGATGGCATAGTAAACTCTATCCAAGCATCATTTGCAACTATGGGGTCAGTTTTGAGGATTTCTGTAATGGTCCTCCCCATTACAATTAGAACTTATACAATTAGAAATAATAAGGTCAAAATAGTGCTTAGTTAAAGTTATCCTGATAAAACTTGCAGTATATCTGCATAACCCATATAGACGATGTACAGTGCACTGTCCTCAAGTCACTGTAACCTTGACCTCAAGGTCAAAGGTAAAATAAGTGCAAAGTTTTCAGGAATATCTTGTCCGGGCCATAACTTTTAAACCGTTAAAGGTGAGACAAAGTAGCAGAAGTGAGACTAAGATGTTGCTTTTCTGTCGACAGCGGAATCAACATTAAGTTTTCACGTTTAACTTAGTTTCACTGAAAGTGTAAGCGCTAAACCAACCAAACTTGGACCATAGATGCATCTTAGGTAAAAACATCTTAACCCATGCATAAAATGCTGGTTGCGGCCTACACCTTTCATGGTCCATTGACTTTGTCAGCATCTCCATAAACAAAAGGTTGAAGGTTGATATGTGCATTGATGGTCAAAGCGGGGCACAGGCCATACATATCAATCTGAATACCTTGTCTGAAAATTGTGCTTCATTTCAGAAGAAAGTATCATCGAAACATCGTCAAACTGAATCCTAGACTAAATGGATCTTATAACAGATTTTCGATTTTCATTGACCCAATCGATCGTTGATGAAGTTTCGTCAGATTCCTTCCCCGAGTTATTGCCTTTTATATGGTTAATATATATATATCAGCATTAAAAAAAAACATCATTTACATTTAAATAACCTTTTAAAAATTACCAAGAGCAAAATTCTGTTTTTGTATTACTATGCATTATTTTTTCTGCAAGTATTGAGATATACTGGTTTTCCAATATATTATGACAGCCTTAGGTTCAACTTTATGATTTATGGCTTTACACTTCAAATGTAGAACTTAATTAATAAAGATAATAACTAATTATAAATGGATGATTATAAATTTTTGTTAAAGAAATATCTCTATTTGGTATAATAGATATTTAACTTAATTTCAAGTGTTTGGTATGTGGACATAAAAAGCTAATATAGATTCTGTAGTTTATCACCAGGCCATTGTTTAATGCTCTGATTCATAATATAGTCATCATAGGGCTGGGGTGGTCAAATGGTTAAGCGTCTGACATTCTGCTACCACTAGCCCTCCACCACAGCTGGGTCATGGGTTCCAGACCTACGTGGGGCAGTGGCCAGATACTGGCCGTCGGTCGGTGGTTTTTCTCCGGAACTCGGCCTTTCCTCCATCAAATTCTGGCACGTTCTTAAATGACCATAGCTGTTAATACGACGTAAAACACAAACAAGCCAAAAAATCCTAGACATCTTTGCTAGCCAAGGGTTACGATCCTGTACAATCTAGCTACCTTTTGAGGAGTAGGTAGACTAGATTGTACCAGCTCCTAACCCTTGACTAGCGAAGATAATTCATAGATGCGTGTCTCCTCTTGATAAAATAGATTATTAGATGTTATTGAAACAGTCCAACTAATTAGTGATGGTGAATTCGAAGGTCACAGTGTATATTGAGGAGTGATCTACTGAAATGGGATTCACCGTTTCAGGGAGCATGGAAGCCCTGTCTGAATGTCAGTACTGTCCTCACTTCCATACAGCTTTTGATGGCAGAACCTAACCCAGAGGACCCACTCATGACAGAAATTGTAAGTAAATAATATTGTAATTGTAGTTTTTTTTAATAATAATAATGTCAACTCAAGAAGTAAACCCAAGTGGTGCATTTGCTGTTGACTGCCAATCTAGCACATAAAAGAAAGGAGTCAAATTTGATTTTGAAGATTTGTTATACAATAATATTATGTATATATGTGGTGTAAAATACTTATTGTATTATATTTTCAGTCTAATGAGTTCAAATACAACAAGGTTTTGTACCTACAACATGCCAGGGAGTCGACAAAGCAACACGCTATGCCAGACCTCACGACACCACAGCAGGTTAGTCATATTCTCCTATATCATAAGAGGCCTTTTTTCTGTCGAATATGATTTTGCCAACTGCGTTACGCGACACCTGTCAAAAGTATCTCGCTGTGTAAACCTCTAACGCTGTGGGAGTAGTTAGTCATAGTACTCCCTGTATCCTCCTAGATCTGGTAACCAGTTTTTGAATATAAAAAATAAAACATTTCAAGAAAATTTACAAATCACCCTACATTTCATTAACATTTTCGGTGAGAACAGATCTAGAGGTGCTTATCTGTGGTTAGGAGACTCAGCCTGAGTTTCCTCTGGCCCTTACACCAGCCTTAGATATTTTGACAGATAGATTTCTGGTTCACATTTTGACAGATAAATATGTCTGGTCCCACACCAGACATCTACATGTACATGTATCTGTCGAAATGTCTACGTCTGGTGTCAGGGCCACAGGAAACTCGGGCTATAGGAGCCTAGGAAATACATTTATGGTACATAGTGTATATATATATTTATGTATTAAACCTTATTCGGTTCAGATGTTATGATCCTTTGAATCTTTTAAAAAAAATGAAGAATATAATCATGAAATGTGAATGCTTAATTAACGATTTTGTGTATGATTCTTCTACACTAAATTAAATGTGAATGCTTAATTAACGATTTTGTGTAAGATTCTTCTAAACTGAATGCACTGTAGTGTTTAAATACTCGTTGGTGTTTATCACTTCAGTTTCTGATATTGGTACATTTTAGTCTCTCTGTTACGTTTGCTTTCAAATGTTTGAAGCATGTCGTTGATTGATACAGATCATTATTTTCCAGCAGCTAACGAAACCTGTTGACATGAAGGTGGGACAGGAAAATACACTTAAAACAGTGAAAGAAAAATCTGAACTGTCTAGTGCAGTTCAGAAGAGACATCTGCCTGTAACAGACATTACGAACAAAAAACCCAGGAGCTGATCAAGTTTAATCGCCAGTTCATGTGCAAGGAGGTGTGGTTCTGATCAAAGAAACATATTTTGGCTTATTGCATAAACAATTCCTGGTTCCTGGTCCTGGTTAATTTTTGAAACATGAACCACACAGTAAATGCTGATGCAGTCAAGTTGGTAGAGACCAAAGCCTTGGAGAATAGCGTGCAGCGAGATGTCAGCATTGACTTCGCCATTACAGCACTAGTGCTTAGTCTTGATTGTTTACAGGTGTATCAAACTTTGACAAAAGAACGCCAGCATTAGGTGTTTATGTTGTACCTGTTTATCAATCTTCAATAAAACTTCATTAGATGATGGTCATATATTTGTACAAGTTCATGTATAGCAAAATGTGAAAGTTCAACACTGGTGTACAATAAGATATTGTTATTGATTGATTTCATAAGCAACAAGCAATAGTTTTTCTCTTCCAAATGATATATTGTACATTAAAACATTTGAAAGATACTGATAGAAGTTTTAGTTTCATTCAGTATACTAGAGTATCATAGACCACGGTCGCCATCTGGGATTTCTAGAAGAAGAGCATCATTTGGTTAAGTCATGTGAAAACTATTTTGTTAAAGTTGAATCATTGAAGTTTATTGAAATAGACATGATAGGACTGAATTTGAAAATTCTACAGTCAATCAGAAGCTTTGAATAATATCTTGGATAATGAATCGTTTTATAAAGTAACAGCACTTGGTACCAGCCAAAGGAGGATCATTTTGAAAATATTTGATACAAATTGGCCTGGTAGACTCTTAGAAGATTATGTTGTTTTAGCTGATATTATCCTTAACGGTATGGCAAGTCAAAGTGGGAAATAGTCCACAGTGGCTTACGGGTATCATTTGTGAATAGTTTGATTATAATTAGAATGTGCTAGCTAGAATACTTGAAGAAGATTGTGAAAGATTCCTTTCATTAATTAAAAACCAAATAAGGAGGTTATTAAGAGGCAAAATCGGAATATTTCAAAATGGTCTGTGACCTTTACGGTATTTGGTCAACATTTATGCATATTAACACAATTTTTACGGAGTACGAGTATAATGTTACGCTCTTTGATGGGACTTATAAATGATGCGTTACAAGAGGTGGTATATAAATCTGGACTATTTAAAGAGCCCAGCTTATTAAGTAAATACATGTTCATCAAAATATCCGAAGCCGTCTTGAATCGTGAAATTGGTTATTTGTTCAGAAACATATCCTCTATGTATTGCTCCCACAACCAGGCCAGCCATTTCGAGTTCGTTCTGCTGAGGATTTCTTTGAGAGCTGGTATGAGCAGCCCGCTCAAGTTGAAGTCAACATTTTTGGGTTTACCATCAAGCAGCTGTGAGATTGGTCTTTTATCGGCCGATCCAGGGATATATGTTTCGGGTACTTGATCACAAGGTGGTGCAGTGACTAGCACACTCGCCTTTCAATAAGACGGCTGGGGTTCAGTTCCCCGATCAGATGTGAAATTGCATGGGGTCAACCTGCCCGATCACGAGGGTTTACTTTCTTCCCTCATTAAGACCTGCCCGTGCGCTACCAGAGTGATTGATATAAGTTGAAATATCTTTGTAATTGTTGTAAAACAAATAAAGATTCTTTTTCACTTGCTCATTTGGGTTACACGTAGAGTTAACTGTTCTGTTTAAACGAATTCCCTATCGTTGGACCTGTTCTATGGTTTATCCGGGGAGATTGTATTTTACTTAAACGGTAATATATGGAGCTCCAGATTGCAGTTCAGAAATGAGAGATTACATGATAAATCCCGAGAAAAGTACCACAAGGATAATCCTAGAAAAATACATTGTCTCTGATGAAGGTAAGGGGGTTCCGAAAGAAGAGAGCCGCTGCAAGTTTGATAAGGACATCCAAAAACAACTGCGGAAAGACGGGCCTTTGTTAGCGACCATGTCTACTCCTCAAACATTAGGGAATCCTGAGAGGATGAAGAATTCAAAAACTTCAAAAAAGAACGAATCCTGTGGATGGAAGTAAAATATAATACGATAAATATATCAAGAAAATACGCTTTCAAGACTAGCGGTCCACTATGAGCAAAGAAAGGTGACGGAAGTCCGAAGTAGCCTAAACATTGCAGATACTACAATTTATGAAAATCGGTACTGCTTAGAAATACACTAACGCTGATCTGTTAAATTATAAAGATAGGAAAAAATCAGTAAGATAAATAAAATTCAAAAACAAATATAGAAAGCACAACAGTAATTTTTCGAAGAGAAAAAGAACAATCCATAACGTCTTCGGAAACAGTTCAAAACGTTTTGAATATCAAAAAGAGACATTCTAATGCAAATGTTGTCATAAAAATTGAAAAGGAAAACTGCCATGACGGACTCATTATTTTCACCATGTAACCTTGAGGGGAATGTTCCCCGTGCAAAAAGCATATTTGATGCCAAATCTAAGTCGGTAAACGAATTGTATCTATAAAGAAATCCTCAGACATCAAAAAGGTTGTATTTCATTTGAAAATAAGTTTTAAACGAATTGTGCAACTTGAGCTTGCAACTTTCCTCTTTCTAAAGAATGTTCTCCTTTTATAAAAGTGCCAATTAAATGTTTGATCAATAGCTCAATCTCAGCGTATTAAGAAATTGCCAAAAGTAAAACTAGTCTTTATACTAGAAAGGGTAATCCAAGTGTTAACAAAAGCATGATTCGACTTCAAAATCAATAATCTACGGTAAAAGATTTTTTTTTAAATGTATTAACACGGAGATCCTTAAACAAGTAAAAGGACAATACGATCAGTGTGGGAGTAAGCGTTTTCTTTTTAGACAGCATCTGCCACGCAAATCTAAAACACTGTACCCGAAACGGGATACTTGTAAAACTGTCCTGCAATGTAAAGAATGATACTTTATGATGATTTTATGACAATTTAACTTTTGGCTGATGATTATCGTTACAAGAACAATTTAAAGGTAAGAATAATTACCAAAACTACATTTTCGTGATTTACGTGCCATGCAACGCTATTTATTTGAACATCATTTTCAAAAGTCCATCTTATCAAAACTAACGGTCCTTTGGAGAAGAAATTTAATCAGAACTTCTTTTGACTCTAAAAATAAATTGAAATATGTATATTTTTTTGCTGATATTGATCGTGTATCTCCCAAATTAGCCAAAATACCAAAGTGTCTCTTTCAGGATACAGTAACACATGTTCAATTGCATACATGACCCCGATAGTATTTCGCGTTCTTATTCTTGAAACACGCGCCAGAAATACTAATTGCAGTAGAAAAGAAAAGTGGATGGTAGCTATTGTGGAAAAATTAATAAACATTTTTGGAATTGATAGTCTGGTATAAAGTACATACGTAGATATTTCTCTAGAAAGTGTCCCGTTTTTGGTACATTGACGTTAGATATATCCAAAGAAATGTCATGTTCGGGAAGCAAGAACCGGGTTAGTGAAAACAAAACCATAAGGGTTGGAGTTTAGAGCAACTCGAAGAAATGTTTGGGGTATTTTTGTACCTGAAGTATGGTAATATGTAAGCTTCCTAAAACCCAACACTTTGTTATACGAACTAGTCGGCCATCAAAAGTCCCCATTCTCTGTCAGCCAGTTGATCACATAAAGTCGCAAACAGCTAAAGGACTAGACCAGAATGGTTTCACTGGGACTTCAGAAGGCCTTTGATACACAACATTCTGTGTGGAAAAAACTTACAAATTGTTGGAGTTAATTTACTCCGTGGCTTATTTTTTTTATCTAAAAATAGAAAACAAATCGTCCATGTTGACCGTGAGCTCTGAGATTGGTGACCTTCTCGTCCATTTTGACCGCGAGCTCTGAGATTGGTTACCTTCTCGTCCATGTTGACCGTGAGCTCTGAGATTGGTGACCTTCTCGTCCATGCTGACCGCGAGCTCTGAGATAGGTGACCTTCTCGTCCAAGTTGACCGCAAGCTCTGAGATTGGTGACCTTCTCGTCCATGTTGACCGTGAGCTCTGATATTGGTGACCTTCTCGTCCATGTTGATCGTGAGCTCTGATATTGGTGACCTTCTCGTCCATGTTGATCGTGAGCTCTGAGATTGGTGACCTTCTCGTCCATGTTGACCGTGAGCTCTGAGATTGGTGACCTTCTCGTCCATGTTCACCGCGAGCTCTGAGATTGTTGACCTTCTCGTCCATGTTGATCGTGAGCTCTGAGATTGGTGACCTTCTCGTCCATGTTGACCGTGAGCTCTGAGATTGGTGACCTTCTCGTCCATGTTGATCGTGAGCTCTGAGATTGGTGACCTTATCGTCCATGTTGACCGCGAGCTCTGAGATTGGCGACCTTCTCGTCCATGTTGACCGTGAGCTCTGAGATTGGTGACCTTATCGTCCATGTTGACCGCGAGCTCTGAGATTGGTGGCCTTCTCGTCCATGTTGACCGTGAGCTCTGAGATTGTTGACCTTCTCGTCCATGTTGATCGTGAGCTCTGAGATTGGTGCCCTTCTCGTCCATGTTGACCGCGAGCTCTGAGATTGGTGACCTTCTCGTCCATGTTGACCGCGAGCTCTGAGATTGTTGACCTTCTCGTCCATTTTGATCGTGAGCTCTGATATTGGTGACCTTCTCGTCCATGTTGACCGTGAGCTCTGAGATTGGTGGGGACCTTCTGTATCGATTAAGTAGTCTGCACGGTATCCCATTGTTAATTCTTTAAGGAGAATTGAGGAGGAGCTCAGTTGCAGTTTTCACACATGTTCCTGTTCTTCGTACTGGATTCATGTCTTTTCGCGTATAATATCAACCATCTTGGGTACGGCAGTTCTGTGGTAAGGTATAAAGCTCATACTATGGTTCTTTGATTTTATTAGAAATATTATTTTTTTTAGAAAAAATAACAATAGGTATGCAGAATACGATAAAATCGGAAGTGGAAGCATAGAAGCATTAACGTCATTGCATGCATGCTGCACGCTCTTTACTCGTTATGTTTTTGGTTTTATTAAAACTTTTTCACAAATGAAGAAACCAGTGGTAGCACAGTCGGTTGGCACAAGGCCGTCACGTGTCACTGACACACAATCTCCAGAGTAGGTCCCAAGTACTCCCGGGGCCCACATATTGTCCGGTATGACGGCCCCGTCAAGGAATGTCCACGTACCAGCTCCATTCTTGCGCCCGGAAACAATAAACGCATTTTCTTGCTCTACAATATAAAATATTTGAATTAATGTAATATTTATGTTATGTTGTATTGGATGGTCTTACTAATACCGTTAAATATCAAACCGTTATTCTGATATCTTGTTGCAACTAGAAAATGAGAAATACGACTCCAACGTTTGCCATTGACATCCGATACCGCCCTGATCATCAAGACTTCGATGCAAACGGGAACCGTCGCCACTTTCCGTAAACGACAATCTGATTAAAACATCTGTTACATGGCTGATTTTAATCAGATTGCGTAAACGAGAAATTAATCGCTTGCGGGATAGTGGCGACAGTTCTCAATTGACGTCGATGTTGACTTTTTTTATTACACGCTATACTTTCCTGATGCATATGCTTTCGTATTCTTCAGATTTCAGAAACTATATAATCCAGATAAATTATGATTTTAATCTAAGACGTTTACATTTTCGACTTCTTCTCCAAAACTCCTGAACCAATTTCAATGAAAGTTTGCAGAAACCTTCCATGGCCAAAGGTCACAAAAATTTAAGTAAAAGCTTGCCATGTGACACTGAAACAAGTATCTAATTAGAAAAAAATTGTCCGTTAGGCCCATTGTTCTCCGGATTTCCTCTTTCTTAATGGATGCAACAACGTCATGTTGTATTCAATGCGAAAAAGAAAACAAATGGAAAAGATAATGTTAGAAAATGAATATTTTTGTAGGTATTCGCAACTAAGATTCTTACAGCATGATTTCAACTCGGGCGTTTTACAGGCAACGTTCAAAGTCACTTTAGAAAGCAGTTAAAAATTTCAAACCCTCTCACTCTGATGGGAAAGTGTGTAAGACTTCTGAGTGATACCTTGTAGTACTAGCTAGCGGTCACAAGACAATGTGTACATTTCTGTATTATAGGAGAAGGTGTACCATGCTTCAATAAAATACATTTACACACTTGTTTGATGGCAATGCACGACTCATCACCAATGGCATATGTATCGCCTGAATAAGACCTTCGATCGACCTGTCTGGTGTTTATGAGTAGACATTTTTAAAATACGCTATATAGCTCAATGTCATTTCAATATATTTACATTTGCCCCCGCGCCGTCCCATTACAACAGTGTTAGAGGACAAGTGAAATTATATAGGCTATAATTACAACTGCTCGACTATAATTACAACTGCCTGTATCAGGTGTAGGAATATGTAAACAAACAAAATGGCCGCCTGAAATGTATTTTGAGGCAGGGCAAATGGTTTTTGTAGGAATATGTCGTAAAAAAGAAAAATATGTAAATATAAAAAATACCTGATTGTCTGGATGTAATTATTGTTGATATAATTACAAGTGGCCTCTGGCAAATCTACCATAAAACCCTATTTTTGTATGGAATTTGGCAGAGGCCACTTGTAATTATATCAACAATAATTACATCCAGACAACCAGTTATTGTTTAAATGAAAATGTATATAGTATCGTGAAGTACAAATGGGGAGACCCATTTTATAATGTTTGTCTGAAATATCCGTCCTGGGCTAGTTATTACTTAATGGGACTACGTGACAGTATGACGACGTGGTGTACTTAGGTACTTACCTAACCAGGAATCCGGACGTGTCTTCAACCAAATATTCTGTAGTTTTTCTGGAGTGTCCAGCACCAGTAAACCTCCCACCACCTTTCCATCCCCGGAGCCATGCTGAGAGCATTCTTTCTGACAGTTAGCTGGGGTGTGGCGAACACCATACACAGCGTAACACACACCAGTGACGTCAAACAGGAACCCTCCTCCCCCACACCATTTCACTGCAATAGAGATTTTGTCTTTGCGTTTGAACACCGTTTTAAATTTTCTGGCAATAACGTTCTCATTTAGTAGTCTACTTCTTGAAAAACAAAATAAAATAATAAAACTATATATATGTCTTACAAATCAAATAAAATGTATATACATGTGCACATCAAATTTTAAACACATTAATCTAAGCCAATGTTTAACACTTATTTCTAAATCCTTTGAATTATAAGAATGATTATGCACTATTTGAAAATTGTACGCATGCAATAAATAATAAAGTTTAAGTGAAATTACAAAAGAAAGTTTAAACTTAATAATTATCTAATATTTCATTTAAACTAAGATATACTCAGTTAAAGGTGTAAGGTAAATATACCAGTATCATAAAAGTCAACACAATTGAATGTTTAAACATGTAAAATTATATACAATATCAATCTTTCAGCATGCCAAATTATACATTCATATCATACTCTTGTTATGGCTAGACCGTTCTATCACTTACATTCAAAATAGAGCATTTTGTTTTCTGGATGACCTTGACCTTTAACCTCGTTTAGAAGGCTTGTTCTGTGACCTTGACATATCTGCTGCTTCGGGTCAAACGCGAAAGACAAGCACTTGTTGTCAGTCTTACAACGTAAACCACATAAGCCCGCGTGCGGCACGTGCACCCTCCATATTATCTCCGACGACATGTTGATGTTTGTGTAACTGGCGACGAAGCTTTGCTGGACAGGTGGTGTCTGTTGAACATCAGACCCTGTGTCAATAGACAACATGTAATGTTAGAGACAGGTCATATTGGTAAATAAAAAGGTAGGTAATAATTCATGTAAACGAACGTTATAACGATATTTATTTCCTTACTTATAGAAATTGAGAACTATTAAATATATATATAAACTTTGTTTATTTTACAACAATTATGAAACAAGTTATTTTAACATATATTAATCACTCTTGTTGGCCCGGATGTTAGCGAGGGGGTCTTAATGTCGGAGGAAACCGGAGTACCCGGAGAAAACCCACGTGCTCGGGCAGGTGGCCCCATTCCTTTGCACGTCCGATCGGTGGATCGAACCCCGGTCGCCTTGGTGAAAGGCAAGTGCGCTATCCACTGCGCCACAGACCGATCCTGCCTAATATGATGACACACTCAACTCAAAAATGTGTTCACGCTTGTCAAGATGATGAAATACAATTTTATTACCTTTAATAACACACTCGTAGTTAACCATTAGGTATGCATGTTTGCCAACACAAGAATTTCCAAATATGGCAGGGGCTGCTGACAATAAGCAGGTACTTCTATCCTGACAAGTGTTGTTCATCACAGTATACGTCATTTTGACGTCATAATGACACATCATTGATGTTCCGGTTGCATTACACGTGGCAGTGTCATTTCGGCCGTACCATGCTTCTATAATATTGATCACAAACGGTAACGTACAGCTGATGGTTTTTGTTTCACTCTCGCAGAGTAATACTTCCCCACCTAGAAACGAAACAACACAAACATATATATATATATTTAAGATTTTCTTTTCAATGTTCATACTGGCGTGAACGATATTGACGTGTCTGTGTCGTTAGTGCAAGCGGGATTTCTGGAATAGCTTAACATCACCAAATGTTTGCTTCTAACGGTTGTCTCACATTACTCGGGACGGGAGGAGGAGCTTCAAAATGATGCTGATTAAAGTGCATCCATATAGCTCTATGAACGCAATTCTTTCTGGAGATACTTAGAGAGCAACTTGCAGTGGAAATGAATAAATAACTATATCGAGAAACCTCCACAGTCCGGACACCAGGATGTCTCGCTTTACTAAAGGTACCTAACTAACACGGACACCGCGTTATCTGACCATACAGGGAAACCCTATTGCTTTAGATATTACAACATTTGGCTATACTGGGGGAAACAAGGTTATTCTGTACATTACAATATATAACTTGAAAAGGACCTCCGTCAGTCCCTTCTGATTATATTGATGAACCTAGAGAGAGACTGTAGACTACGGAATCTGATTATACTTAGGAGCCCCGATAATCCGTACGCTAAGAAATCAATCTGACAACACAGAAAGCTAGATAGCCCGAACACTATGGATACTGACTATACAGATAAACCGAATGAGTCCGGATACCACGATTATCCGGATAATGTAAAAACAATAATTGCATAACTGTCATGAATGCCTCTGAAGCAGAATATACATTGTAGACGCAGTGACCTTCCTATTTTTGTATATCTAAATAATTTTATGTATTCAGAGATCAAAAGACATAAATGTCAATTTGACATGCATTTATCAATTTTTAAATAGTTATTTTACATTAAGGGCATTTTCGTTACACTTGATGGATTTCAAGAACGATGTGAAAATATGAAATGTTTAGCTCCCGAAAACGAAATCCTTCTCGACTAATTTCGTCAAACTTACATGAAGTAGAAATTCATTTAAACTTCTATATAAAATGTGTCTACATAATGAACTGACCTGCTGGAGATGCTGGCTTTGAGGGAATATTGGTGGTCATATATGGGTGTAAAGATATCCCTGGCGATGTAGACTGAGTCGTAGAATCTCGCGACATGCTATTGACAGTATATGACAGTGTCCTGTCTTCAGTACGGTCTGTTGAAGTGATAATACCATCTGATAACGTGATAGTGGTAGTACTATCGTCTATTAATGTCGCGTCTGGTGGAATCTGTTCCGTCGTAGCAGAAACAGCGCGCGATGGTGTGGTGTCTGACTGATTACTCGAGGTTGTAGTTAGACCATTTGGTAATGTTGTTTCTGATGGGACGCTTACTGTTGTGTCAGTGTTTCTACGTGATGATGTCGTATATGGCGGACCGCCTGTTGTGAGTGTGGTAGTAAGATGATCTGATAATGTCGTGTCTAATGGACTTCCTGCTGTTGTAGATAGATTATCTGGTAATGTCGCGTATGAGGAAGCATCATCAGTAAGAGTCGTAAATAAATTTTCATCAGTCGAGTGTGCATTATTATCATCAGTTGTAGACATGTGTACATCGTCATCAGTTGTAGTCATGAAAACATTATCATCATTTGTTGTCTTGTATACGTTGTAATTAGTTGTAGTCGTGTGTACATCGCCATCAGTTGTAGTCGTGATGGCATTTTCATCAGTTGTAGTCATGTGAACATTATCATCAGTTGTAGTCATGTGTATATTGTCATTAGTTGTAATCATGTGTACATCGTCATCAGTTGTAGTCGTGATAGCATTATCTTCAGTTGTAGTCATGTGTACATTATCATTAGTTGTAGTCGTGTGTACAGTATCATCAGCTGTAGTCATGTGTACATTATCATCAGTGGTAGTCGTGTGAACATTGTCATTAGCTGTAGTCGTATGTGCATTGTTATTTGGTGTAGTCGTGAAGACATTATCATCAGTAGTAGTCATTTGCACATTGTCATTAGTAGTAGTCGTAATAGCATAATCATTAGTTGTTTTCATGTGTACATTGTCATTAGTTTTAGTCGCGTGAACATTGTCATTAGTTGTAGTCGTGTGTACATTGTCATTAGGTGTAGTGTACATTGTCATTAGTTTTAGTCGTGTGAACATTGTCATTAGGTGTACTAGTGTGTATATTGTCATTAGCTGTAGTCACGTGTACATTGTCATTAGTTGTAGTCGTGTGTACAGTATCATCAGCTGTAGTAATGTGTACATTATCATCAGTGGTAGTCGTGTGAACATTGTCATTAGTCGTAGACGTATGTGCATTGTCATTAGTTGCAGTCATGTGTACATTGTTATTAGCTGTAGTCGTGTGAACATTGTCATTAGTTGCAGTCATGTGTACATTGTCATTAGCTGTAGTTGTGTGAACATTGGCATTAGTTATATTGTCATTAGTTGTAGTTGTGTGTATATTGTCATTAGTTGTTGTCTTGTGTGTATTGTCATTAGTTGTAGTTTTGTGTATATTGTCATAAGTTGTAGTCGTGTGAACATTGTCATTAGTTGTAGTCGTGTGTATATTGTCATTAGTTGCAGACATGAGTACATTGTCATTAGTTGTGGCCATGTGAACATTGGCATTAGCTGTACTCGTGTATACATTGTCATTATCTGCAGTCGTGTGCACATTATCATTAGTTGCAGTTGTGTGTACATTGTCATTAGTTGTAGTCGTGTGTACATTGTCATTAGGTGTAGTCCTATGTGCATTGTCATTAGGTGTAGTCGAGGGAACATTATTAATAGTTGTAGTCATGTGTACATTGTCATCAGTTGTAGTCGTGTGTACATTGTCATTAGCTGTAGTCATTTGTACATTGTCATTAGTTCTAGTCGTGTGTCCATTGTCATTAGCTGTAGTCGTATGTACATTATCATTAGATGTAGTCGTGTGAACATTGTCATTAGTTGCAGTCATGTGTACATTGTCAATAGCAGTAGTTGTGTGAACATTGTCATTTGTTGTTGTGGTGTGAACATTGTCATTAGTTGTTGTCGTGTGAACATTGTCATTAGCTGTAGTCGTGTGTATATTGTCATTAGTTGCAGGCATGTGTACATTGTCATTAGTTGTGGCCATGTGAACATTTGCATTAGCTGTACTCGTGTATACATTGTCATTATCTGTAGTCGTGTGTACTTTGTCATTAGTTGCAGTCGTGTGTACATTGTCATTAGCTGTAGTCGTGTGAACATTGTCATTAACTGTAGTCGTGTGAACATTGTCATTAGCTGTAGTCGTGTGAAAATTCTCATTAGTTTTAGTCGGGTTTAAATTGTCATTAGTTGTAGTCGTGTGTACATTGTCAGTAATTGCAGTCATGTGTACATTGTCATTAGCTGTAGTCATGTGTACATTGTCATTAGTTGCAGTCATGTGTACATTGTCATTAACTGTAGCCGTGTGAACATTGTCATAAGGTGTAGTCGTGTGAACATTATTATTAGTTGTAGTCGTGTGTACATTGTCATTAGTGGTAGTCGTGTGTGCATTGTCATTTGTTGTAGTCGTATGTGCATTGTAATTTGTTTTAGTCGTGGGAACATTGTTATTAGCTGTAGTCATGTGTACATTGTCATTAGTGGTAGTCGTGTGAACATTATTATTAGTTGTAGTCGTATGTGCATTGTCATTAGTTGTAGTCATGTGTACATTGTCATTAATTGTATTCGTGTGTACATTGTCATTAGTTGTAGTCGTGTGTACATTGTCATTAGGTGAAGTCGTGCGTACATTGTCATTAGATGTACTCGTTTGTACATTGTCATTAACTGTAGTCGTGTGTACATTGTCATAAGTTGCAGTCATGTGTACATTGTCATTAACTGTATTCGTGTGTACATTGTCATTAGATGTAGTCGTATGTGCATTGTCATTAGTTGCAGTCATGTATACATTGTCATTAGCTGCTGTCGTATGTGCATTGTCATTGTCATTAGGTGTAGTCGTGTGTACATTGTCATTAGCTGTAGTCGTGTGTACATTGTCATTAGGTGTAGTCCTATGTGCATTGTCATTAGGTGTAGTCGTATGTGCATTGTCATTTGTTGAAGTCGTAGGAACATTATCATTAGTTGCAGTCATGTGTACATTGTCATTAGTTGTGGCCATGAGAACATTGTCATTAGGTGTATTCGTATGTGCATTGTCATTTGTTGTAGTCGTGGGAACATTATTATTAGTTGTAGTCATGTGTACATTGTCATCAGTTGTAGTCGTGTGTACATTGTCATTAGCTGTAGTCATTTGTACATTATCATTAGATGTAGTCGTGTGAACATCCTCATTAGCTGTAGTCGTATGAACATTGTCATTAGTTGTAGTCGTATGTGCATTGTCATCAGTTGTAGTCGTGTGTACATTTTCATCTGTTGGAGTCGTGTGTACATTGTCATTAGCTGTACTCATGTGTACATTGTCATTAGTTGCAGTCATGTGTACATTGTCATTAGTTTTAGTAGTGTGAACATTGTCATTAGTTGTAGACGTATGTGCATTGTCATTAGTTCCAGTCATGTGTACATTGTCTCTAGCTGTAGTCGTGTGAACATTGTCATTAGTTGTAGTCGTGTGAACATTATTATTAGTTGTAGTCGTGCGTACATTGTCATTAGTTGTAATAGTGTCTACATTGTCATTAGTTGCAATCATGTGTACATTGTCATTAGTGGTAGTCGTGTGAACATTATTATTAGTTGAAGTCGTGCGTACATTGTCATTAGTTGTAGTCGTGTGTACATTGTAATTAGTTGCAGTCGTGTGTACATTGTCATTAGTTGCAGTCATGTGTACATTGCCAATAGCTGTAGTTGTGTGAACATTGGCATTTGTTGTTGTGGTGTGAACATTGTCATTAGTTGTTGTCGTGTGAACATTGTCATTAGTTGTAGTCGTGTGTATATTGTCATTAGTTGCAGGCATGTGTTTATTGTCATTAGTTGTGGCCATGTGAACATTGGCATTAGCTGTACTCGTGTATAAATTGTCATTATCTGTAGTCGTGTGCACATTGTCTGTAGCTGTAGTCGTGTGTACATTGTCATTAGTTGCAGTCATGTGTACATTTTCATTAGTTGTGGGCATGAGAACATTGTCATTAGGTGTAGTCGTGTGTATATTGTCATTAGCTGTAGTCACGTGTACATTGTCATAAGTTGTAGTCGTGTGTACATTGTCATTAGTTGTGGCCATATCAGTTGTAGTCGTGTGTACATTGTCATTAGGTGTAGTCCTATGTGCATTGTCATTAGGTGTAGTCGTATGTGCATTGTCATTTGTTGTAGTCGTGGGAACATAATCATTAGTTGCAGTCATGTGTACATTGTCATTAGTTGTGGCCATGAGAACATTGTCATTAGGTGTAGTCGTATGTGCATTGTCATTTGTTGTTGTCGTATGTGCATTGTCATTTGTTGTAGTCGTGGGAACATTATTATTAGTTGTAGTCATGTGTACATTGTCATCAGTTGTAGTCGTGTGTACATTGTCATTAGCTGTAATCATTTGTACATTGTCATTAGTTTTAGTCGTGTGTACATTGTCATTAGCTGTAGTCGTATGTACATTATCATTAGATGTAGTCGTGTGAACATCGTCATTAGCTGTAGTCGTATGCACATTGTCATTAGTTGTAGTCGTGTGTAAATAGTCATCAGTCTTAGTCGTGTGTACATTGTCATTAGCTGTAGTCATTTGTACATTGACATTAGTTTTAGTCGTGTGTACATTGTCATTAGTTGCAGTCGTGTGTACAATGTCATAAGTTGCAGTCATGTGTACATTGTCATAAGTTGCAGTCATGTGTACATTGTCATTAGTTGTGGCCATGTGAACATTGGCATTAGCTGTACTCGTGTGTACATTGTCATTATCTGTAGTCGTGTGTACATTGTCATTAGTTGCAGTCGTGTGTACATTGTCATAAGTTGCAGTCATGTGTACATTGTCATTAGCTGTAGTTGTGGGAACATTGGCATTTGTTGTTGTGGTGTGAACATTGTCATTAGTTGTTGTCGTGTGAACATTGTCATTAGTGGTAGTCGTGTGTGCATTGTCATTTGTTGTAGTCGTATGTGCATTGTCATTTGTTTTAGTCGTGGGAACATTGTCATTAGCTGTAGTCATGTGTACATTGTCACTAGTGGTTGTCGTGGAAACATTATTATTAGTTGTAGTCGTGCGTACATTGTCATTAGATGTAGTCGTTTGTACATTGTCATTAGTTGCAGTCGTGTGTACATTGTCATTAGTTGCAGTCATGTCTACATTGTCATTAGCTGTAGTTGTGTGAACATTGGCATTTATTGTTGTGGTGTGAACATTGTCATTAGTTGTTGTCGTGTGAACATTGTCATTAGGTGT